GAATTTTGCTCCCTCCGTCTTCGAGACTTGCTCCTCCTTTTGCTAGACTTTGATTCCACTAGAGACTCCACGTATTGCGGCCCACGTGGAATGTAATCGGGGTTCCATATAAGGGCGACTAGTAATCGTAGATATGACACAAGAAGTGCTATTAGGAGGATATAAAAAGCAACCAATAATCCAATTGTCACTCCAATTCTAGGATTTCGTGATGACGTAGTGGAATCTAACAGATACTCGACTTTTAGGAATTAGTCATTGGCTTGATGGGATTCAGGTATTAAAGAAAACAGAAACAACGTACTACACAATGATCTTGTAAACGTCCAGCATGTATATATAAGGATGAGACCAAGTAATACCGGGATCACGCGGGACACTGCGAGATTGGCAGCTTTTGGATTACAGGCCATCAGATCAAGTGGCCTGGAAAGGCCAACTCAGTCAAAAGAGCGGCCGATAAACTGCTGTTAAATCCGTAACATATTAGATTAAAATAGCCAAAATATGTCTAGCAGACAAATGAACAATAGTTGTGGCGTTGTTGAGCCCTAAAGCTTGATATTCCCTTCTAGATTGAACATCAAGAGAGCTTGTGGCTTAATAAGCACTTGATCCACCAAACCACCAAACAGAACGGGAACTTGAAAAGAATCAACAAACGGCGCGTGTGGAAATATTAGTTGACATTTTTCGTTGGATGCTATCTATAACATAAATATGCTCTTTTATACAGAACTCTTGAACTTGTTTTTTCAAGGCTTTTTCTTGATATCAGCATATATCAGCAAATTTCTGGGAAATTCCAGGCCAAAATCACGTGTCAATGCTTCCCCGCCAACCTCATCTCATCGCAACTCAACAACCAACAACCTCTCCTCGTTTATCTTGTTTTTTATTTTCCTCTCTTATAACTTCAGAACTAGCTACATGTCCTCGTATATTCCAATTTGTCGCTTTCTGTATGATATTTTTCCTTACGATCTGCCCTGCTGCGACCGTTTAAGGTGTCATGTCGTGCCATACTCCTCTTCATTTCCTATGGATATGTGCTCCTGGGCGGTAATTATGCGGGGCCTGAGTTAGGCATCACGATAGCCTTAGCGTGCGATCTGAGATTGCAATTCCTGATTATAAAACTAGGCTGCAAGGCTGGATCACGCCCCTTCAGCCTCGTTTCCATTTTGGCTGCTCGCTCACTATCGGCGAGCGATGGCGAGGCCTGCCTTCACATAAGGCTATTACGCGAAGAGGCACATTATGTCTTTGGCAAACCATTTTGTCACCGGCGTTTCTTTCGGCTACAATGCCCTAGCCACTTTGCCCCGTTTTTTGTTGCGCGAACAAAGGATCCCTGAGAGTTCCACCTGTGGGAAAATTGCTATGGATCAAGGTTGTTCTCCTAGAGCTCCAGCTTATGAGGATGTCCGGGTGCTCGGCGAACAGGCAGTTTGGCCGGGCATCATGCGCAGTTCCGGATTTCCTCTCTTTCTCTTTCTCTCACTCTTCCCTCTCCCCTTCCCCCTTTTTTCTTGCCTCAAATACTATTTACTCCAAAAGCTCGTGATTCGTTTCGTGGGAGCTAAAGCCATCCGTTCTGATTGCGGTACGATTTCGCATTAGCCTCACGTGAGATCCATTACTCTCTTGACTGGAAGCTTTTGACCCAGAGCGCTGCCAGATGCCTTCCGCGTGCGGCTGTACTATTTCTTCGAAGCTGTTGGGATGTGCAATGGTGGGAAGTGGATGGCTCTTCCGACTTTTGACTGTGTATGCCTCGACGCAAAGAAATTCCACGAACATTGAACCCATCCAACAGTTCCAGCCTGTAACGGGTTACGGCAGTAGGTCATCGCCAACTTGACTGGAATTTTGCTCGCATGACCTTGGAATACATGGGCTTGATATCTATGTACAACTTTATTGGGGACCATCTTTTCCGAGCAAGTTCTGAATACACTTTGTGGTTTAAATGGCTAAAGTCTCCGTCCCATGAAAATATTTATAACGCTATTCTCGCGTAGCAATTCGAAGCGCAAATCTTGCGTTCAACCCTCGTTTTCTCTTCCATCTACTGCGTATACATTGCTTTTCGTCTCTCTAAATACTTTGGGTGCCGAAATATATATCAACCAAACAGCCTAAAATGCCTACTGTTAGTGCATCGAACGCCTCTCAACTGATATAATTTTTGAGTTAACTTTATTGCAAACACAGGCTCATGAACGAACAGGATATCAGCAATCCGAAAACGGCATGTTGCAAAGCGGAATGTATGCTTGTCCGTCAGTCTATCTAGTTTATCCACCAGATCGTACCGGGCGACGTCCAAACCAACACACTCTCCTACAGTACACTTCTCTTACAGACCGAAGATACCACGAAAATCTTCGTTTGATTCAACAACAGCAGTACAACAATGCACAGTTCTCACGAGACACCCAGCACACCGGACGGACTGACGGAGGATATCCTTCTATTATAGATGATACTTCAGGTCAAAATAGTCGTCACGCTGAATTGCATAGCAAAGACCAGATAACCAAAGTTTCTCAAGTCGAAAAACTAAACGACAAAACATCTAAGACCAAGGGATCAACCGTAAAGGTTGATTCTCCCAACGAAAAGCTTACCCTCCTATGGATCTGTTGCCAAAACTGTTACTTACCAGGCCCTTATTCTTCTCTCTATCCACGGTGCCTGGGCTGCAATACATCGAGATGTTCAAGGTGCATTGAAATACTAGCTCAAGGGTCACCGATCCTCGAGTAGTTTTTATTTGCTTGTCTTTTACAAGGATACACCTTGGCTTTCAATGCTATTTCACTCTTAGTATTTCGATACCCATAAGTACACTTGGTGGACAGGTTTCCTTTCCTTCCTTACATTTTCTGTGCCTTCAAATTCTTGGGACCTGCATGTCAGTGTCTGGGGTTTCATTTTTTCTGCCCTTGAGGTGAAAAAAAAAGAGTTGTATAAGAGCAAACTTATCAAATCTCGCATGATCCTGCAAGATTTTGATTCTTCGTTGCATTTTCTTCTTGTAACATAGTTTGTTGATGCCTTCATTGAAGACCATTTGTAATTGCGTTTTACCGTTCAATTGCTAATTCCCATTTGCACAAAAGTTTGTGAAATTTTCAAAACTGCCTAGGTTCTGTATTTAAAAATTCCCTGTTAGGTGTGTTTTTCGAAGCCTGTATGGTTTTCAGTCTGTCCTGAAGCGTGATCCACCAAGGCAAGGCTGCCTAGACTGATGCAGGTTGGAAGACGCCGAAGTCAAATTTTCTGCAAGAGGTAGTTTTTACCAAAGACATGTTGCCTGAAATATTGTTTCTCCGGTCTCATTTTTAAATGGGAGTTTACGAACTGACGACCTATTGCCATTTCGGCACCCCTTCATTGCGGGACTCTGAGTCAACGAGGTTACTTCCCGCCAGGGCGCGGAATGACCTTGGGAGTTTGACTTGATCGGTTAACCAGGTCAGCCTTAACCAGGACCCTGAGGCGCAACCCTGTCCTTCAAAGCCACCAACATTGGCCTACCGCCCGGACCAATCAGAAGTTTTCAGGACTAAGTGGGGCCTGACTTCCCGACTGACTCAATTACGCTATGCATGGAAAGGACTGCCATCAGTCGTTGCGATTACATGGTTTGGGGGATCTACGGGAGCCCCGCGCGTTAAGACATTTGTTGCTTGGAACGTTTCGGGCGCCAGCGCCTTCTGATCTCCTTGGGCCATACGTGACCTTCATGGCGGGGCGATGCACTGGCCTAAAATTTCCCGTCCGCGAAGGACTGTTGACTGGCAGACTAGCTTTTCCTTCAGGCATACATGGCGGGTCATTCCGTCATAGGATTTTCTTCTGTTTTCAATCTTGGCCCTGGCTTAAATATGCCACAGTCTTCCTCCATTCAGTCCCTACTTCCCTCTTTTCTTCCTGCCAAACTTAATTCTTCCTTTTTTACTATCAGAATACCTTACAGAAAGAGTACTAACAAACACATACATTATCCCGAATACACATATCTTACAAGAGCGTCGACCTCTCCTTTGTATTC